AAGCCCGACGCACAGGGTGGAGACCCTCAGTTCCTATATTTGCACTAATCAATATGGTAACTATAGTACGTTCTGCACCATACATGTTTCTCAATTGTGGGTGCAGTCTACTGTAACAGCAATTATAAGGGAAGGCGATGAGGGCACCTTGCCCACTGAGATTCGAAAGGTAATTTGGGATAACGCGACTCAATTTGAAAAGGATTTCCAATCTTGGTGGTATCTAGTTAATGTCACTTATGACCCCACCAGCAATAAAACCACAGCTTTTGTTTTGACAATACGCAGTGCTTTGTTATACACCATATACCCAATCACTGCGCTGCCATTAAATCACCATGCAACTGTACTCTATCTGTTAGAACATAAGAGTATGGGCCCAATGAAGTGGCAACGAATGGCAAACTATTGATGTTGATGCATGTGTTGTACGGGAACAACAAGGATTTATTTGTGAAAGTAATACCATTAAGGCCCAAGGCATTTGTTTTGACACCAAACAAAATGTTTGTCATTTCGAAATACATCCTGATGAAACCCCTGAGACTGTACTTGTATATGTTGGAAATCGATGTATTTGTATGAGAACCCTTTGTGATTCTGTATTTATAGATGACGCCACTGTAGAGACGTATAATCACTCAAATATCTGTATTTGTAATTTTACCAAAATTATGGGATGTGACTTCAACTATTCAGCTCCTGTCACAACCCACCAATTGCTACAATCTAACTATACATTGTATCAAGATTTATTGCCTACCCCTATTGGAATGAATCTCACACTGGTAAGAAAACTGTTGCAACATGATAACCTGAGTCAATTGCTAAAACCAATTTGGAAGGAAGGACAAAGAACCCTGATTACTGTCCATCATGATGCAGAGAGGATACGCCATGTCCTAGAAAGAGTGAAGAAAGATGGGGGATCTTCATTGGTTCACTGGTGGGAAACTCTTTTTGGATGGTCACCAACAGCAACCGGAATTTTGAATTTGCTGCTGCATCCAGTTGTAGTTTTGTTGGTTTTGACCTTTTTATGTTTATTGCTTATAATCATTCAGTATATCAAAGTTTGGCAAAAGGTGAAACAAATTATGTCAATCCAACATGTAAAACGTATACAATCAACTGCTTCTGTATGTGAAATGGTATATAACTAGCGCTAATTGTGACACTTAAACAACTTATCAAATAATTGTACGCTTGGCACTGATCTGCGATACACCACATATTTATGACATAGAGGCAAGAAGTAACCATATTACCACTCTGTGAGTCGATAAAGGGATTGACTGTAGTCACAAGGTGGAGTGTGAGGGATGCATTCGACCCCTTAACCAAACTAGCAGTAGTTTGGTACAGGCTCCAAAGGAGGTAAAGGCCTAAGCCGTAAACAGGCCAAGAACTCCTCTGGTTTCAATCTGTTCTCTGAAAACCCAGAAAGGAGCAGAGTGACACAGTGAGCATTGGTGCGTATGAGCTTGGAACACCGATCATGCGATTGACACATGAATAGCGGGTGGCTTTTCCAAGACTCATTTATCAAGGAACAAAGCAAGCTGTGGGTACAAGGAGTCTCACGCATACCTGTGCTATCGCATGTAGTTTGACTATGAGCCAACCACTTTATCCTATAAATATGACAGCCTAAGCGAGCCTTCTTGGAGCTCGCCCTGGTAGGCAGCGTGGCTGCACGGTGGTGATCTCCCCTTGAGCTGGGACCCCTCAAGGCTGCTCCTCGAGGCAGAGAGACCTTTTACCAACGGCAGATCTTTGGTAAGCGACCGATATCGCACATCACCTTGTAGTACGGTAACTTTGATTTGTGCCTTGGTAGCTTTGATTTTTGTCTTGGTAACTTTGATTTGTGCCTTGGTAGTTTTGAATCATTGTTCAAATGATTGTGCCGTACAATAATAGAGTGAACCTTGCCATCGATCTGTGTTAAGTCGTGCTTTTACAACATCATATTAAACCCACTTTTGCTAATACCTTTGACGGTGGTTCTTTAAGCGATCTAAATCACCCACTTGCAACAAAGGGAAAGACTTGCACATCGTGCATCTGCATAGTATTCCTGCCACCCTATTTCTTTCTTTGTTCATTTGGCCCTTTCCTGGCAGAAAAGGGGCTTGAGGGTAGGGTGTGTTTCCTTGGGGTTGTGTTTTACCTGAAAATGATAAAAATCCCCTAATTAGAAAATCAATGAATTCAGCTTCAACAAAATAAAAACACTTAAAAGCAGCAAAAAGCCCCCTCCAGGTTATGACACAGTTGAAGTCAACAGCAAGAGGATGTAGAAAGGAATTTTCTACTTTGTTTTCTGTACTGCCTTGCAGAAGAGTTTTAATTCATACAATATAGAGAATGGCGAACTCCAGATCTGGCGTTGAGATGATTGGAGCCATTCTTCAAATAAAGCCAAGGGGAAAAAAAAGACAAAACTATCATTTTTACCATGTGGGGTAAACTACATATTACAAACCTGCCTGAAAGGTCTTGTGGTCACTGGTATAGTTATCAGGGTTAAGAGCCTGAATTAGGCTTCTAGGGAAAAGAGAGATGCTCTGCTTCCTTCTTGACGGAGCTCTAATATTTCTGCAGTGCTTTAGATTTATAAAATGCTACGAAATAAGAAGTATTAGCTACCAATGTTAGCAACTCTAACACTGGTAGTTTGCCTCTTTGAAGACCCCTGCTGCAGTACAGGGTGCTTGTCTCCCCTTCTAGGCTTTGCTGTTGGCCACCTGGGTGATGCTGGGCAAGTCATGGCAACTGCCGTCCGTACCCTGTGCATAACCTGATGAGATTGATGCTGGTCTCTTTGGAGATGCCCTTATTAAAAAGTGTTGTATGAGGATTTCATGTTAATCTTATTACCTCCGCACCACAGGGCATGCGTGGTAATCAACTCCTGCTGCCTTCTGTACTCTCATTTACACATGAAATTTGCACTAACTAGCTACTTCTGCAAGCTTAGATTTAAGTTAAAAAACCTTCATGTGAGGGAGTGTTTGTGTAAGTGTGAAATGTATGCTTTCCTGGGAGTCGGGGGGGGGGGGGGTTGTGGTACAGTTACTGTTTCCAGCGATGGGTGTGGGCTGCTTGGATAACTTGTTCTTTTATTATTTTGTCCAGCCCTCCTGGGTTTCCTTTTTTGTTAATTGCTGTGAAATTGTCATCCTGTCTTCAGAGATGATCGTGGGTTTACTGGCACTTTTAGGACTTCAAACAATTTCACAAAATGCTGGGTGTGGGTTTTGGTTTTGTTGGTGTGTTTTTCTTTGCTTGGGTTGGTTTTTGAGGGTGGTTTTTTTGGAGTTCATAACAGACGTTGTCCATTATCAAGGCGACACCTCAAATCCCCAGTCACTTATAAGCAGTTGTGTCCTGGATATCGGATATAAAAATGGTATTACCTGCTTACTTTATAATCAGAGCTACTTGTTGTTTTGCGGTTTTCTATTTACAATCTTTCTTTTTGGGCAAAGACAAGGAATGGGAAAAAACCAAACATTTTCTGATTGTTTTTGTATTTTAAACTATGTACTTAAAATTATATGCTTGTAGAAGCTTTATATAAATGGCCTTTTAAAATTATAATTTATTGTTTGTCATGAATGGGGTATAAACTCTTCTCCTGGTATGTGCTGAGTGCTGTGACACAACTCACGCTTTAAAACAGAAGATCAGGAGGAGTGTAACCTTGTTGCAGTGTTGGTAGAAATCTTAGCTATATATAGCCTGCTGAGAAAAGTTGAAGGGATCTTGGATAAATGTTTTTGCCTGCTGAATGCTTGCTTAATTACTGCTTGAAAGGAGTTGCAGGAGTAGTTTGTTTTTATAATTGTGCCAAGGAACACCCAGAGCAAAGGACAGGTATTGCTGCCTTCAGAGTGAGTCTACAAACCGCGGCCAGGACTAGAGCCCAGAAGAAATTGCGTAACAATTTTTCAATTTTTTTTTTTTTTTTTTTTATTACTTGGGGTTCAACCTCTGTCCTGAAACTCATGCTCTGAGGCACAGCACCAGCCCAAAACAATATGCTTGTGTAACCCAAGGATGGCAGCATTTACCAGATCAGGATTTCTAGCTCTAGGAGCTGCCACCTGCTGGCTGCTGGCAATGCTGGTCTCCCTGTGGTGGCTCCAGCACTGAGGCTTTGTCCCTGAAGGGAGAAAAACTATCAGGTTACCAAGACCTCAGTGTGGCACCTCAAGACGGGTGTTTCTGCTGGCATCATGGTCATGTCAGAGCTGGCTACGGCAATTGCTCAGCCATTCAAGAAGGGAATGGAGGTAGACAGGAGTGGGGAGCTTATCTCTGTCCCAGCGGTTCCCACCATCGATGGCAATCTGCCTCGCAGACCACGGCATCGTCACCCCATCGCCTGTCAGAAGCCTCCCAGCCTTTCCCTGCAAGAGATCGTTTCGATCTCTCCCATTTCCAAAATCACAACCAGATGGGCCCTGCCTCTACAACCACTCAGCCCAGAGAAGCTCTGACTCAGTCTCATACATCACTATCCAGAAATTTGGGATCTCTACAGGACTCTTCCCGGTGACTCCACAACAGGCAGTGCAAGGGCCGGGGTGAGCGCTGGCCATAATGGGACCTCATCCCCCATCCGTAAGCATGGTGACTAATAGTGCTTGATGATCAATATGTCAAGCCCGATTACAGATCCTGCCTTCAGATGGGGTGAGACCAGAGGTCCAGAGGGTCTCCAGGAGTCTCTTTCAATGGAAATCATTTTATGCTTCTATGAAATCCATATTCTTGGAAAAAACAGGGGAATGTTACTTGGTAGTAGTCAGATTTGTCATCCCAAGAACGGGTTGCTGTTTACTTGTTTGTTTTAATGATTTTTAAAAGTTATTTTCTATTCTATTCTTCTTTTCGGCAGATGGAAGAGAAGATCTTGGCAGGGGGGTAGAGCCTGGGCAGCCGGGGAAGGAGCTGATGGATAGAGGACGCTTGGCAGTATAAACTTCGCGATGGCTGCCCAGTCGAGGTACGGCGTTAAATAACTTTAATCGCTGTTGGTGCATTTCAGTGAGGGCTTTTCATAGTCCGGTGGTGTTAGTGATGCCCTCGCTCCTTTGCGGGCACGGTTGGCTGTTGATTTTTACGCTCCGTTTCACAGAAATATGTCTGGAGACACGTCCTGGATAGATTTTGTTCATGTATTTTGTTCACTGAAGTGTCCGCTGCCTCCTCTCAGCATAAACTTTCTTTTAACAGGAAAAACAAAGTCTTAATTGCTCCCTGTCAAATCTCTCTCTATCCAACAAGTTAATAGCTCTTCGAAACTGATTTTCTTCTCCCTTGGGGACTCGTCTGTTATTTGTTTGTGTGTCGTCGTCCCCGTCGTCGTCGTCCCCCCCCCCGGTTAAAACAGGTAAACAGGTTTCTGTGATTGCTTACAGCAATATTTTAAAAGGTAGATGGTTTATATATGGTCGGATTGGAGAGCTGGCTGTATAAAATGGAAGCGGGTTGTGTCTGCTTGTGTGCAAATCTGCTGGGTAGGTGGGAGGGTAGAAAATGGTTGTAGGGAAGAGTATGAAAAAAAATGATCTAATGTAGTTGCTGTCAGGGAGCAAAATTCAAGCAAACATACCAATCTGGGTGAAATACTTTTCAACTCACTGTGTTTTTAAATAAGCAACTTCTTGCCTGCTCTCGGGGGGGGGGGGGGGGGGACCTGCTGCAAGTAAATTTTTTCCACACACATCTAAAGTAAATTTCACACTCAGCATGAGGGAGGCAGCTTTTCTTTCTTAAGTCATAGTGCTTGATGAAGCAGCGCTATTTAAGGTACCTGTTAAATGCCTTTTAGCTTTTACAACGCTTTAATGGGCATTTCAGAAATGCCGAGGAGAGAAACTCTTCTTTTTGCTCTTTAGTCCCATACCAAACAGCCACCCTGCTCCCCTTTCCTCCAGGCAGGAAAAAAAAAATAAAAATGGTGGCATATCCTACACAGAAGTTTGGCCTTCGCAGTGTATTTTCGCAGTGGTGCTATTCTGCAGGGTTGAAGCCAAGAGCTGGCTTTAAATTACAAACTGCAAAATGACAGAGCCGTGAGGTTTGGGGAGGAAGGATGGGAAGATTGATTGCTTCGTTAACAGCTGAACTCTTCTCTAGCTCCAACTGCCTGCTCTCTCTGCGTGCGGGGAGGCTGGGAGTACTTAACGAAGAGGCAAAGGTTTAATTTTTCAGCATCTTTTTTCCTTTGTATGATCACTTATTCGCATGATTTACTGGCCTGCATTATCAGTGCGTTGCTTTAATAGGCCTGCATGCTAAGAGAGGATACAGCATAAATCTTAGTGCTGCTGGCTGGCCTTGAAACTTGGCTTGGCTCCAAGGCCAGGGACGCACTTGATGTCTCAGAGGTCACACAGCCATTTTCTTGGGTGGCAGGAAGGCACGTGGGAGCGGTGTCCCTGCAGTAGCCCCCAGCCTCAGCAAACTGGCTGAGAAAGGGTAAGGCTGGCACGGGGGTCAGCGAACCACATCCCTAACCTGTGAGGTGGACAGCACAGAGAATAAAGTTTTATACGTTGAGTGGCTCAAACTGAAAGTGAGGAAAATGGACCAAGGGCTGGGTCCATGGGGCTGAGTACTGTGGGGCAGGTGAAGGGACCATGCCCCACACCTACCATTTGAGACGAGCGTCGAGACAAGATGTGCGCCTGCCATTCTGTATCCTCCCTGCTCCTCCATCGTGCGTGTTGGCTTTTGCTTTTGTCAGGTTGCTGTGAGGCGCTCAAGCTGTAAAACTGCGTCAGAGCATTTCAGCATAGTGAGTAAGAAGGTAGCCTCTCTGTGCTTGAAGGTCAGTGTTAAAGTCTCTGATTATTGCTCATTTTAAGACATTTAAAAGAGAGTAGGAGTTAATATGAGCAGCAGAAATTAATCTCTTGCAGGAGAGAGGTTACACTTGCCAGAAAACGTGGTGCTCGTGGTATTTCTGTTTTGGTGGCACAGGTCAGCGGGAGTATCCATCTCAGTCCAAGAGATTTGTGCTTTGTGGGTGTGTAGAAGCTTTTATTCAACAGTGAAGGATGAATTCATATTCACAGTAAATAATTGGAGCTATACTGTGTGGGACTGAGAGGCCACATGTCTCCAGAATTCATTTGCCAAAACGTGTCAGAAGGTTTACTCTGCTAGGTAGCTGACAAAAGATGTGGTTGAGCTTTCTGTGTTAATTTCTCCTTTGTAAAAAATACAAACAATTTCTGCAAGCTCAGTAAATTACTGATGAGGTGGTACACTACAGAGCACTGTAGCTTTTTGGGTATCATTCTGTATGAGGCCTTCAGGCACTCCTCCATCTGCTTGGGTTTGCTATTTCTCACGTGCTGTATGTTGCAGCTAGTGAAAGGGATGTGACATTGGGGATGATGCTTGTTTGGTAACAAGAAAATCCTGCATCACAGCTTCAGTGCTGTGATCCTGGGCAGCTCACCTAGTATTTGGCCTTCACTGTTTTGAAGGGTGGAAGGGTAAGGAAAACAAGGTGATAAAACATGCCTGTTGCTGCTCTTCAGCGTTTTAAAAACTATAATGGTGATCACTGAGAAACAGATGTGATAATGGATGCCGTGACATTTTTAAAAATAGTAAATCTTAAGAAATTATTACATGGTGAGTTGGGTATGTTATTGTTTTAGCTGTTTGAGAATGATCAGCTTCTAGTAATGGTTGCTGTAAATAGCTTATATCTAAAGCAATGGCTGAGGTGGAGAAACTATCGTCCAGTTAGCATTGGGTTGTGTATAATGTAGATTTTCTTTCTTTTTAAGTTGCTAGCTGAGCCGCAGGTTTGCAGCTGTAGCTTTCTATGCCCTCGCTTCTGGAACATGTGGATGATCTGATGCCTGTAGTGTCCCTGAGCAACAGGACTTGTGTCAGGTTTTTATGGTATATTCAGGAACATGTGAGCAGAAGCAGAATTGATCTGAACAAGTTTACTTTCTTGTTAAATGTGGTGTGATATTCATCACGTGCTGTTCAGCTGCTCTGAGGTACGGCAGGATCCTTAGGAGGTGCGTGGGACAGACTGGCACCTGCGTTCACTGCCAGCTGCTACCAGCGATCAGTGAGGCCCGAGGATATGGCTCCTTAACTGAGTGGCAGAGCCCATCTCTCTTCTGCTTCCATCTCCATTAAAATGTGTGCTCTACTGCAGCAATCGCAAGCTGAGGATCTTTAGATGAATAGCTGCTTTTCTGAAGATGTAGGCTCCTTTTCTCAGGCTGGTTGGGATCATTTTAAATTCTCTGTAGACCCTGTCAGTTCCATTTATTTTATTTAAAATTGGTGGATAAACGAATATTTTGTTGTTATGGATGCTAAGAATTTCCAATTGTCATATAAATTGCCTTTCGAAGTGGTCATGACTAGTATGATTGCAGGTATGCAAAATGAATGCAATTTCCTAATCTTTGTACATAGGCGAATACGCTAGCACAGTCAGAGCAACGTGAAATCTGAGTGTTGTACTGTCATCCCTGCTGAGCTCACCTTGCTCTTTCTCCCCCGACAACCCTGCAGGGAAGGGTAATGATGGACAGCAGCCTGGGAAGCCCTCCGTTTCCACCCCCTAAAGCCAAGTCATACCAGCTAAACCCAGAAGAGTCTTGAAACGAGGCTGTACCACTCATTTTGGTAGAAAAAGAAGGTGGCACTGTGCAGAAATAAAATGCGGTTATATCTGCATTTAAAACATGGTAAATGCAGCAAAACAGTTTCTTCTAAAGGGAATAACGCTGAGGCTTTTCCCTGAGGAGAAGCTACGTTGAATGATGCAGCTTGATTTCATTCCATGTCGTTTCACAGCCTTCCAGGCCAGACCTAAAGACGTGTTTCGTAACTTGTTTGTTTCGTGGGTCCTGTTGATACAGGCAAATGCCGGTGTTGGTGATGCTGCATTCCAGTCAGCTGATGTAGGTGAAGAAGGGCTGAAACAATGTCTTGTTGGAGTTTACCTGTCTATTGAAAGCTAAAACATCCTGTGAACCCTTGTCGGTTTTTGTTGTACACTGCTACTAGCCCTGCCTGTAGAAATACAACCCTATTTTCTCCAGAACAAAATGCCTAGCTGATCCATGGCATTTGTGGGCTGCTGGGGATTTTCAGTTCACACTTCCTTATTGCCTGGACTTTCTGAGCCTGGAGTCTTGCTTTGGGGCAGGCCTGCAGCTGAAGCTCCCCCGCAGAGAAGAGAAGCGCACAGGGAAGTGGATTTTTCAAGTAGGTTTGATGGTTTTTGGTTTTGTGTGGTGTTTTGGTTTGTGTTTTGTTTTGGTTTGTTTTTTGGAGAGGGGGTTCCAAGTTGTAATAGGCCCTTTAAAACTTTGAAATACTATTGTCATGATATACCTGAGCTGGTATAGAAGGGAATGTTTCCTTAGATCAGGTAATTTTCCTGGGTCTGAATCTGTATTGTAGAGAGGCTTCTTCTCACTGCTTTTTATGAGAAAACCATTTGCTAGTTCAACTGCAAGATGCAGCACAAATAGCAGGAAACAAGCTTTGAATGAACTGCATAAATTCTCTTCAGTGCCCTCCTTCTGAGCATAGTCATAGTGAATGATGGCATGAAGCTTTTAAATGCCTTTAAAACGTAATAGAAAAGCTGTCTCAGTAAAGTACATAGGAATGCTACAAAGACATTGTTCTTCATGAGGTGGACTACAGTGCCGTGAGGAAGAGTTCTCCGCAGAGCACAGGGTGTCTTCCTAAGGCCCGGCTCAGGCGCAGGGTGGTTGGGAGCACAGAGGCTGCTTTACTGCTTAGCTCGCGAGCAACATGACGAAAGTTACTTTAATGTAGAGATGCCTGAGCCTCAAAAAAAAATGGGAAAGTACTCCTCCTGTTCAGGCTTGAACACAGCGTGGTAGTGAAAAAAGTACTGGCTATGTTATGTTTTGCAATTTTGGCTGCTGCAGTTCATCTGTGTCCATGATAAAAACGAAAAGACACACGTAGCACTGGCTG